CCCAGAAGAAAAGAAAAAGCGTGAAAAAAAAATAAGGTCGATTGATTTTTTATTTTTGTTTTAAGTTCTGAATTGTTTAAGTATTTCAATTGGGTCGGGTGGAGATGTTAGGTTGGGTTAGTAAATAATCGATTTGTGTGTAGTTATTATGTCATTTTTCTTCTCTTCGCATTAAAAATTAAATCAAAAAGAAACTCAAATTATATGGGGGTATGTGTTAATTCAACTTCTCTTTAAGGGTTATATGAGGTTTTGGTCCTCACCAATAGCAAGATTAGGGATACAATTCTTGGTATTAAAAATTCAACTATGAAATCCAGGTTTAATCCTCAGTGGCATAATGTTAGGTGGATCTATTGTTCTTGGTATTAAATAATTTTTGGCACATGCTTTATTCTTTTTTTTTTCCACTGAAAATATTATATTAAATATGGTGAAATTCGATTTTGGAATACATGGGTGGGATACGATTGTGAAATACGAAGATGAAATACAAAGCCGATGTCTAGAAAAACGACATCGGAGACAAACACTACAACCGGAGACCCAACATAAACATATTGAACATAAACTAACCCCGAACCACGAAGATCCAACCAAACCACATCTCATAGAAGCCAATCGCTAACCTTCCACAAAATGACTGAATCAAGGAACCCTTGCATCAACATGATCATTCGCGGCAAATATAAAGGAGACGAGGGAGCTGCAAATGGACACGAAACTTTATTCTAAAGTTGATAATAAAAAAATAGCATTTTGGATAGTTTTGTATAAAGACCAATTATTTAATTTTGTTCACACGATTATAATAGTACAAAGTACAAACACATCACCCAATAGCAAGATTAGGGATAAGATTCTTCAACATGGGTTACAATATATTAGATCAAATGAATATAAAAGATCTAAATGCAATGAAAAAGTTTTAGTTCCACAACAAATTTCCTTATTTCTATGTTAACTTTTTAAATACTTTTTTTATAAAAATAACAACTTTCTGTTTTCC